AGTTTCAACTGAAAATTCAGCTGGCAAAAGATGACAACATGCAGGGGAATAAGACTGCCTGTTGCTGTGCAGTATGGTGTTGCAGGCAAACTACAATCCTGCTGCTCAGATGTTAAGCACTGCACAGGTAAATGTTGTATGTTCAACACAGCTTTTATTCTAATTTTCACTGTGAAGTTTATCATTAAACTTTTGCTCATTAATCTGGTCCATGGAAAGGAGAGCTTGCTTTTCCTGTGCTTCACGTTTGTGATAAAATTTCTTTTCATTTCTGAGCTGGATTGGGCTTTATTGGGAGAGTGTCTTAGTCTGCAGTATAAAAATTTAGTTATGGTGCCAAAAAAAAGAAGAAAAAATCTGGTATTTTGCCTGTTTTATAGAATTATTTTTTATCACATTATGTCCAAGTACCTTATAAACCAGAACACAGAGAATGGAAGTGCCACAGTAGGACAAAGGCAAAGCCAACAGAACCCAGGTCTCTGTCTGAGCCCAATACTCTCTATGCAGTATCTCACATTTCTGTCCAAGAGTCAGGAACATCTCAAATATTGAAAAACATAATACTTGTTCTATCTTGCATACAAATGTATGTATACAATCGTTAACAAACTAGCTGTGTTTCTCGAAGATATCCTCTCGATTGTGAGGCAGGGGATGCTACATGATCAGTTTGCTAGCACGTTTACTGAGATACGACAGCCAGATAAGATTAGAAACTGGATCTGGATCAGTGAGCAATCCAGTGAGTAACACCACCATGCACTTTCTGCAGAACTTAAGACAAAAGGCAGGATAGTTTTGTTAACTGACTTAGTTAACAGAGCACTGAGCAGGCTGAACCTTATTTACAGCAAGTGATGGTTACTATGATAGTGTCATCAATGGCCTTAAAATAAATAAATGTCAATTCAAATTATGATTCACTAGCAGGAACTTATGTAAATGAAAAATATTAAAACTTTAAAAATCTAGCATTTTCTAATCAAAATGGCATAGCACTCAAAGAATTAACTTTTTTTTTTTTTTAAATAGGAAAGAAATATTAGAAACTTTTATTGACCAGCTTTTAATTTTTTTTAGGAATGTTCCAGTGGGTGTGAGCTATAGGTCTTAGAAGACAATTGTAATTGCTGCAATTTTGCCAGAAAAGTTCTAATTTTATGTCTAATGTCAGTAAAAGCTTTATATATAAACTTTAACAATGCATTTTTTCCAAGAGGCAAAGTTCCCATTATAGGCAAAAAGGCATCCACTTTTAGGTGCTGTTCCAGTGATCTGTGTGAAAATTCTGTTTTATTTTAACAGAGGGAAATGCTTTTGTTATGACTCATTTTTCTGAACTACATAGTGTAACCGTAAACTATCTACCAATTTATTACCTGGCTTCTTAGGAGTGATTATCAGTAGCCCTTATCTTGGGGAATAAAGCTGATACAGCTATCAGTAAAGCAAACATTTCCACAAATGATACACTGTGTCAATACAGAAGCAAATACTGCTGTTTATCACTGAGTAACGTGACACTTGTAGCATGCAGAAATAAGCTTACGGAAAACGAAAGGGCTGGTTACCAACATGAACATTAAACAACTGGGAAATGGGACACATCATATATTATTATATACTAGCCCAGAAAATAACATTAAAACATGTCCCATCCCATGATTTATTTTTCCTTATATGAAGAGTACTTTTTTCTTCTAAACAAACGTGAAAGTCTAATCAAGGGGTGGGAATCTAGACTCTCACCTGATTTCTACAGCCTACTCTAGATTTCCCAGCTAAATTAGCCTATATGTTTTGGTCAGGGCTGTGACTATTTTTATTTTTTTTCCCCACTCTAGTCAGCTTATACATGCTAGAAAAGGCCTTAGCTTTGTTACTTGCTGGTACGGAATTGTTTGGGGAATAGGTTTAGACTATATTGAAAAAAGACGTTTCTGGGGGTTTTCTCCTATGTTATTAGGCTTGTTCATATTATTAGTATAGCTACCAGGAAATCTCCATAAATTATAAACGGTTTTGACTTTGTAACTTGTTGCAAGAACTACACAAGATTGGTTTACTTTGTATCCTGAGATCAAATCTTGATCACAAACCATCTGATCGGATCAAAAGAAAGGTATTACTATCTTCATTATCGCTAGGTAGTTAAGAATATTTTTCAACATAAATCTTTATTCTGCATGTTTTACTTTGTGACTCCCAGGAATTAGCTACTTCAAGCAAGCGAAAATAGTGTAGTGCAAGTTCTTTATATAGTCACTGCCTTCTCGACCCCCTTCCACCCCATCCCAAGCTACTGCTTGTTATCCTGTGCTGCAAGCTTCAGAGAATTTAACTGTATTCACCCCTGATCCCCCAATGGCATGGAACATATACATCAAAGTACTCAGAAATTTATACAGATGCTAATATTAAGGAGGCCTGGGGTCTGAAGCCTGTGCCAATGGAAACATTAAATAACCATCATCTCAGTATTTTAAAGCTAGCTGAGATGTATTTTATAAAGTTAATCACTTACTGTGCTTGCTAATATTATTAAAGATATTTTTCATGTGAAAGCACAGGGGCCAAGAAAATAATTTCTTATTGCTCAGGAAGGGGGTGAATAATGAAAAAAAATATTTCATTTAACTTTCCCCTGAGAGAAATACCCTGGTAAAATGTGCATGATCCTCCAGTAGCCAACACACTCTGAGGTTAAAAAGCTGCTACTGATTCACAGCTACTGTCCCAGCTCAAGTAGAAGGGATTTGTGCTTTTGGTGCTGGTGTTGAGTGAGCGTGCCAGATTTAAGCCTGTTGTTAATGCAAAGTGTGTATATACACAGAGGTGTTACAATTGCCCATAGAATATCCTGAACAGAATAGTATTATTATTATTCTCAGATACAGAACTTTTTTTTATGTTTCTCTTTAAAAATAAGGATGGGTATTTGCTATATGGAACTGGAGAATACATGTGCTTACCTGGCTACTCCGCCTCTAGAGAAAGACTAGCGTGTTCTGTGACTAAGAGGAAACGAGGCTAAGGAACTGCTGAGCCAGATAACCAACGTATCTGCACTTTCCCAGGAGATGGAATACGTTTCAAGTGTGGAATCCAGTCCCTAGAGAATTAGGAATTTTCAATGCAGTTCATATAAAACGTGTAGGACTTCTTGTGGAACAAGTAAATAAAAAACCTTTCCAGCTACTACATGGAGTAAAAATATTTTGCTAATTTAAATTTAATTTGCAGACTTCATATAAAAACAATGACGTCAGCTTATTTTTTAAAAAGCGTATTTTAAACCTGGCAGTTTTTCTACTGGAGTACTGTACATGATGTTTTAAAGAGCTTTTAACCAGAAGTCACTGTTACAGAGCTAAAATGTACACTGTGTTCACATGCATACTGTTAACCATCTAGATTTGACACAGATAAAAACTAAGATGCGGATCCTTATTTTTGACAAACAAGACAGGGATACGTTTCAACCCACTTGATGCATAATAAATAAAATTTCAGTATTAGAAGAATAAAAATGTTAAAATAGACTTTGAAATCAAAATAAGGCAATGCAGGATTATCAGTGTAGAGAAAAGCAGGTTCCTATACCTCCTTTTCTAGAAGAAAGCAAGGTTGGTTAATAAATTAAACATTGAGATACAGCAGGTACTTAATTCCCGTTTCATTTAAAAAAAAAACAAATGGATTACAAAGTAACAGATATCCACATGTTGCACGTGCTTTTTTGCTTGCAAACTTCAGCAGATATGAAATTTCTGAACCTCTTTCCTCACTGAATCTACTGGTTCCTAATTAGACCAAATGACTCTGTACATTTGAGATACAATCAGAAGTCCACAAAAGCCAGTCTCATATTTCATAAAAACTTCTAAATATTTAGGAAATCTAGACACTTCCACATTTTTTTCCATGCTTCATTTAAACTTTGATCAGCAAGACTCTGTTTTTATAAATTACCCACTGACATATTCATAAACTGGCTTGGGAAAAACATACAGGTTTTGTTACAATGAATTTTAAGTTTGTACATACACCTCAGAGTCTGGAGCTATGGCATTTCTCCAAAATAATTCACAGTTCCCGCAGTTAATACAGTACTGCAAAATGGCACTAAAGTGCATAAGTATCTGAATGTTTGTTGGGCTAAAAAGGTGCTGTGCAAGCTTAAGCTACTGCTTTGCCATTATATACAGGATCATTTTTCTTTGGGGAGGGGATACTAGTTCTGGAATGCCACTGATTTTAATTGTAATGGAGGATTGTCTACCTTTCACCTTTCTAGAAGATGTAAATGCCCCCTTTCTGACTATTCTGTTTGTCAAGAACAGTAAAAGAGAAAACAGTACACTCTAAAAACACATTTTAAGATAATACCGAAAATGGTATTTAAAAACAAACAAAAAAAAAAACCAAAACAAAAAACCCAAGGAAGAATACATGGTACTCCAGATGAAAAGCGGACATGCTCTTTGTAACTACCTATGGATCTTCTGCTCAAATGAACATGCTGTTCATTTTTATCAAAACATGAATACTAAACTACCATAAATAAAATACATACAGTACAGAACAATTAAAACTTTTTTATACAGTAGTTACTTTTACATTAAACTTACCATCTTTTCAGATATGTTGAAAATTAGGACTCTAAACATGATTATTTCAAAGTATCATTTTTAACAATTTTGCACAGGCCCGACAATCCAAAACACGAAGCTTTGATTCAGATAGCTTGGCAGGTTTCACGTACTTTGACAGGTAGGCTACTTTGAAATATGTTGGGTGTGTTTTTTACTTACGTGTTTTATTTTTATCAAAAGACAGTTTGATTATTTTTATTTAAATCTTTACAGGAACTGGTTTTGTGCAATACCACTGCCAGTGTAGCTTGAGAAAACAAAATGTGTCTGGAACATTGACTATAGTCCAAGTGTTGTCTACCTCTTAAAAAAGTAAGATTCTAGGAAATCCAATGTGAGTGCATTTTAATACAGGCAGTCAGTCCTAGAATAATTTTAATATTAAACAGGTACCGTTTCTACCACCGGTGATTTGATGCACTCTTCGTGCAGTCTGCTCTTTTCTGGGAGGCTCAGTGAATTCTCGGCAGGGTGCTCTTGTACACAACTGTCGCCATTCAAAGCTGAAACAAAGCCATCTTGAGAAGGACCTTTCAAGTACGAGTGAAATTCCACTTGAGGGTGACTTGGCCTATGCTCAGTGTATAAACTGTTACATGGAGCACTGCTATCACCTTCAGAAGATGAGCAGCAAACAATCACTGAGGGATTTGCAGAAGGGTAATGAGGGCTGCTAAAAGTTTCCTCTGATTGCCGTGTGTAGTCAACAAACTGTTCTGAAGTCATGTTGTAAGGCACCAGAGAAAGACTACCATTCTTGACAGCATCCCTTTCTGAATAAGTCTCACCGATCTGGTTAGCAGTGCCAGCAACATGGTTCTCTATTTGGTAATACAGGTTTGAAGAGTTAGTATAGAATGAGGCATTTTTAGAGTGGTTTTCATGCACAGCAGTTCCATCAGAGTAGCAAAGGACAGAAGGAAGAGGCACCATATCAGCATGGGAGCCCATGCTTTCTACAAAATCATCTGCTTTTTCTTCCTCCTCATCTTCCTCCTCATCTTCCTCTTCCTCTTCATCATCATCTGATTCACTAGGGGCTAAACTCTGTGTGCTAGAATCTGTAACTCCACTACAAAAGCTACTCCCATCTTCCTCTTCCTCCTCTTCCCCTGGGCAGCCCAAGTCCTCGGCTGCCTGAGAATGCATAACTGCAGCCGGAGGTTCCGTTTCAATCTCAAAATTTTCTGCAATTGAATATTCAGCCGGATGGGGTCCTGGACTCATAGAACTAGTGTGTGCACTGATCTCACTGTGGCAGCCATTTAGTGCTGGAACTTGCTGCTCTCTATTTTTCTCCAATTCAAGTTTCATTATTGTGTGCAAAAAGTGAGTCCGTACACGGATAGGATTAAATTCAATTCTACCTGCTGTATTGCTACACCCTTCTTTAGTGCAACCGCATGGAAAAGACATACGATCCACCTTTTAAAAAAAAGAATACAGATTAAGAATACATAGCATAAGCCTGGTACTATGACAGAACCTAGACAGCCTAGAGAAATACAATAGCAAAGTGGGGTTCACCCTGAGAAGTACTTGTAAGAATAGTCAAAGCGAACAATAATTCACAGGGTTAGCCCGGGAATTTAGCACTACTGATAGGAACGGGAAGGGACCCATACATGCAATCACGTTGCACAGTAGGAAGAATATGTTTCTGTTCCCTAGGTGAACGCATTGCACAGTGGAACAAAACAATAGGTAGTTTTTCTATTTACGGATCTGCTGCAGCTTTACTTCATGTTGTGCCCAAATCCAGGCAAAAATACTACCAGGAAGAGTCTTAAAATTTGGTAAAAGTCATGGAAACTAGAAACTGATCGAAACAAAATTAATTATATAAAAAAAACTTTATAAAGTTGCCAGTGGGAACACCTGACCCCAGAAAGTAAACAAAAAATATAGTCCTCTACATATAGTCCTCTTTGGTCCTGACAATAACCCATTTAGCTTTGTGTTTTCACCCATTTTAGTACTTCATTATCCAGTGCAGATTATTCTTAGGCCCTTAGAATACCTACTACATTTTAAAAGACAGTACGATCAATTGTAGATACAATATTGTAAGCTCAACAGCCTGTGGGCAGAACTTGATATATCTAATATATCTAATTGATATAGCTATTCACAGCCATCTTAAGTTTCTAAAGACATGACTGAGTCCACAAGTGGGATAGTGCAATTAGATAGCTTAAGGTCTATGATTTTCATCTACACTATAATACCTAAACATCAAATACGATGCAGAGGAGAACCATATAACACAATGTACTACATCTTCCCCACACGTGAAGATGAAAACAGAAACAGCAAAGAGCATATATTATTTAAAATAGCAGAGAAAGTTTAGCTTGCATTTAAGAAATGATGAAAAATGCATTCAGGAAGAAATCAACTCAGTTGCATAACAGCGACTCAGGAGAATTAGTGGAAACATCTTTTAGGGAACATTTTGGGACATCTACAGCTGTACGTAGGCCACTATGTAAATGTACAATACAAAATACCTTTTCAGTCTGCAGAGGAAAAACTACCTGCTCTATTAGCAGATGTATTTTTTATTGCCTACGTGCAAATTTATCATGCATGTTAAACAAAGGATGGTACCACAGAGTTTCATTTATTGTTTCTCACTGAGTTTGGACTATAATTCACATTTGGACAGTATGTGAATTGTCTCTAAAATAAAGGGTAATATCTCTTCTGAAATATGCAGCCTACTGATTCTTCTGTTGTCTGCATTTGCATATTTAGATAGAGGCCAAAGAGGAATAGGAGGAGCAGAATATTTGTGTAACAACAAAAAAACCGCCCTAAAACTAAACAATGTATGTGCCTTAACCAATCATAAAATAAAGAAAGATGTTTAAGGAGATTGTATTGCACACTCTATGCTTTTAAATCTGGGCCTTAAAAAAACTGGTTTGAGAGACACAGGTGTTATGTTTAATAATTAACTTAATTAATTTTCAGTATTCATAACTTTAACAACAAAAAGTGCATGCACGTGTGTGCACACACACCCCCCTCCCCCTCCCCTCGATAGTTAAATAACATCAATAATACAGACATTTACCTGACATTTTATGCCTGCAAGACTGCAGGTGCAAGTTTCTGGATCACAGAACACACGGCAGTCACAGCCACAATCCTCTCTGGACAGGCGGATGGCCCGCAGCTCGTGTTTTTCTTCCACATCAATCTTCTTCACTCCAGAAGCTCGGAGCAACGCCCTTCGCTTTTTTGTCGGCAGGGGTTGGAGGAAGAAGTACTCATCTACTTCAGTGTTGTCCAGATCAATATCATCATCGGAAATATCATCCAGTGTCAGGGTATTGGCTTCTTCAGATTCCACTGTACCATTCTTTGTCATCTGGTGCACAGAACAATTAACAAAGTCCTTAGACTATACTTACACACATATATATGTGTCATAGATGTAAATATGTGTAATGCGTTATGAATGTGGAAAGCCATATGTAAAAATGCTGCATGACTGCCAGTAAGTTCCAGAATACAATTACAGATGAGGTGAAAAGGAAGTTTTTTCACATTTAACATACGAAGTAAATACACATTTTTAGTTTCATGTTTGTCATTATTTTTTTTTAAGTTTTTAATTTGTTATCTGTTATGTTCTTTACCATCTGTCATTATTTTTCAGATCTCATGCCTTTCTAAAATTCTAGTCTTTTCTATATTGTTTCACGAGATAATTTTTGAGCCCTTAATTGGGTCTAGTTCCTGTCTCTGGGTCTTCAATATATCTTTTAAGATAGTAATTATACTACCAACACTGTTTTAGGTTGTGATGCATAACAGATTTGTAAAATGGTGTATTTCATGTACACTCGCTATCCTGTTCCTCTTTAGCCTGACAAGTTATTTGATGTTTGTACAGCTGAGGTCACACAGCAGTATTTCCACTTAATCCTTTGGGCAGATGTCTATATTTGCTTCTAGAGTCGACAATTTTAAGCCTGAAAGTCACTTAATTTTGCCCCTTTCTATCTACATGACATGTTTATGTACAATGTATTTCATAGTCTGATGCACATAGCTCTTCTGAAGTTCCTTCTAGTCCTCTTTGGTCTTGACAATAACCCATTTAGCTTTGTGTTTTCACCCATTTTAGTACTTCATTATCCAGTCCAGATTATTCTTAGGTAGTTAATGACTGAATAAACTTGGAAAAAACAAAGTAAGTTGCTAATCTCTTATGGAGGATCTTGAGAAAAGTTTTTAGAAGATTCGTGCTCCTTTCCTAGGGATATGAATTTTTGAGCCTCTATAGATCCTGGTATCCTGGCACTGTATTATTACCTATGTATAGTCTAGTGCTCAAAATTAAATGTTTCAAAACTAAATGGCCATGAGCATCAAGCACAAACATCCAGTGACACTTTTGTAAGAGCACGTGGTTCTGTACCATCCTCTTGTAACTCGTCTCCTATAGAAAGCGGTGTATATATTCAAGGAGAAAAGGAAAAAAAAAAAATTACTGCACTGAAGGAAGGTTAGTATTCCCATCCCATGGTAGAGCTCCCTGGTTATATCTGCCAGATAACACAGCTACAGGGTTTATAAAAGTTCTTCTACAGCAAAAATTGCTTGAGAATCAAAAGAATATCAAATGTTAAAAAGTTCAAGCAAGTGCAGTTATATGATTTATTTTGTCACATAATAAATCCTTTTTCTTTTACTATTGTTCTATGAAATAATTTTGCTTAAAACGGAAAAATAAACAAACAAACAGAGTGCCCATGTTCACCCCACTCTGTGTAATGTTCCCAATTGATGAGGTTGCTGATTTACACTAGACGAGCATCTGGTTTTATACGTTTGTGACTTTTAGTCATGGTGCAACTACGTGGTAATTATACATTGGCAAAGTCGTAAGTCTCATTTGCATTAACAGTGTCATCACCATGACCTCAGAAAAATGGTCCCCAGTGAATGTAATTTGAATGTTTCCTACCTATAGAAAAATGGCCATTTAAATTCTTTCTGGTTTCCCTTATTTACTTACAGAAAATTCCAGCTTGGCCTGTTATCCCAAATACATTTTTAGACACCATTTTTAAATTACTGAAGTCATCACTACCATTGCCTGTTTCTTGTGCAGTTCAATGTTTAGACATTTAACAATTATCTCTGTAAAGGTAACTCCCCATTTTTCTGCTACTAAGTCCTGTCATCTCCATCATCTTAGGTGTAAGAAAGCAGTCCTGAATCTTACCTATTCCACTGTTCCTGCTTTTATTACATTCCAAGCTGTTTCATTTTCTCATTTATATTAACAGTTTGTCCTTTCCACAGTCTTTTGGATTGTAACTGTCATTTATGGCATTATTGAATTATTCAACGATGAACTCCTACTGACTACTCACTCTTTTTTGTAATTGCTGTTTTGTGTTTATAACAACTGTGTAAGACAATCAGAAAAAAACCCCACCCTAATCATTCCTGACTTGTAAAGTCAGGTTAAAAGCAATACTCTTCCCTTTGAAGGAGGAGAGTCTCAGTGTCATGACTGGTAGTCCTTACGTACAGTGTACGTGTACACATGATACTGCACAAAGAAAAATTCTCCTGAGACCAGTAATTATCCCCTCTTAGCAATTCAGCACTGTATTTAGTTCATGCAGAGGTGTTCTGCCACTGCTATAACTCTGCTTTAGAGGCATTATTGTTTCCTTCTCTTTTTGATGTATTCTCAATCTTCCTCTGTAACTGCAGCCTTCAGAGTTTAGTGCCTTCATTTTATTTCATGTTTCGGTTCACTTACCACGTCTGTTATCCCTATAACATTCAAATCCCTTTATGTGCATATACTTCCAGCTCTTTCTTCATCTTAGATGCAGGCATTTTCAAAATGTCCTCTCAAACTTCCTTCACATTGTGTTCTTACTCTATTTCCTATTATTCATTTCACTTCACAGTGGCTGGAAAAAGAGGGGGTAATAGCTCCCTAATCAGTTCTGCTTGGCCCTGGGGCAACGGAGATGTTATTTACAGCAGGTATTTCAACATATTAGTTCAGTAAGGTAGGAAAGACAACATTAGAAGCCATCCTTTTTCTGTATCATCTACAGTGAGAGACGCGTAAATCCACAGAGTAATCAAATGTATCTTGAATTAGCTGTCTGAAGCTAGTGGGAGGGAATACTTCGCTGTACATGCAACTCAGCCTGAATGTTCAAATCCAGAACGGCATCCTTGATTTTTTTAAAAAAATTTTTCATTTTTTTGCTTGTTAGGTACAACTGAGTGCAGTATAGTTATGCTTCTTTGCTTTCTTTATATATATATACACATATATATAAAAAATAGGAGAATGACCTACCTAAGAATTCAGATTTCTCTAGTTTTAAATACACAATGCTCAAATCACTCTTTAAGCAGATCCCTGTTATTTAACTGCCTATCAGAGTTTAAGTTTGAAACTGGGGAAGGGGAAGAAGTATAATCCCTGCTTCTGTAATTATTTTAGTATTTTATTCAATTACTACTTAATAAAAATTAAGTTTCAGGGCTCTTACCCACGAGGTGAATGCTGTAACTTCTCAGCTTACAAAGGCACCTATAGAACCGTACCAAACCTGTCATGTATTTCTCCTCCTCCTCCTGCAAATCTTTACGGCTTTGCTGCACAGTGGCAGAGCATTAAGGAATGGGCTGCAGTCCTGTGCTGAATGCTGTACGCATGCAGCCAGCTGGGAAGTCAAATGCCTGGGCACCAAGTGGGATTAGACAGCAGTTTGCCATTTCAAAGCACCTTAGCTCCTGGCTCCTTTGCTGGATGACTTCATTGCTGTTTCCTCTGATTTTTTTCCCTCAATTTTGTCACACAAAGAACAAAAGAATTAATGAAATGAAAGAGTCAAACATTTCTCAAACAAGTAATTGGGTAGCTACAAAGGGAAGAAGATTACCAAGAACTATCAAATACATTTTCCAATACAGAACTTCAGGGGAACATTAGGTTCTCTTGATTGTCATAATATTGCTCATCCGAATTAAAATTGATATGTAGATGTGTAAAATTTCTCTTATAAAGCTAAAGGTCAACGTCATAACAACAGAACAAGGCAAGGGCCAACGAATACGTGAACCCTTTGGGTGAAATTCACTTCAACTCTGTAAAATGTGAAAAATTCAGGTTAAACACTTTTGCCTGCACTAGCTGGAAACCATTCCTTACAATTTCACAAAGGAAACCAACTGCGTCCACAGACCTGGGAGCCTTAACATCACTAGGGTCATGCTAATCATGTTAATAGATCTTAATTTGAGGAGACATTATGAGTAAGCAATAAGGACTCTTCCAGCTAATTTATGGTGCTTACTCATAATGTTTTCTCAAATGACAACATACTAAAGCAAAGCCTTCCTTGTACTTTTCATCTTGACAAGATGGCTTTTATGTCCAGACAGCCATTAGAATTTTCACACTCTGCTGCTAACAAGTGTTTATGCCACTGTCAGCAGTGTTTACACCAAAGTGCTGGTGCTAAATGGCTAAAGTGACTTGAAGATGATTTTGAAGTCTTTATCTGCTTTTAATTAAGAGAAGTTTCTTATTTGGCTCTTCACTTTTAGCAAGTAAAATAATAAACAGTACCTAATCTTCCGAAGACTCAATTCCAATATATTCCTGTATTTCTAATTTTTTGAACAAATTCTACAAGACAGAATGCTTTCTACCTACAGACTTGCATATTTTAATCCAATGCAAAAAATTAAAAAAACCAGGGAAACTAAAATTAAAAACCACACTAAAAACTTTTATTTTCTGTTTGCACAATGGTTTTCAAACAGAAAAACCTTTTTAAGCCAACTTTACCCTACTTATTTTTCTCATTTTCTTTATTTTTCTGTGATGTACAGTAATTTTGATGCAAATCCCAATTAGTACATTTTAATTAAAGATCATAATTGCTGACATTGTCACCTTAGAACTCTACAGCGTTTTCTTTTTGTGTTCATTTAGAAACCATGTGAATGACCAAGCACCTCTTCCGTCTCTATAATGGGAAATCAGCACGACCTCATCTTAAGCAAATAGAACACGCTCAATGCTTTACAGTGACTCTTCACTCATCCAGTGAGTGAAATTTGCTTTTGGGAGAGAAAGTGGCTGGGGAGATGGAAGAACACGCTGTATTTGGAAGGGGAGCAGAAAGTAGAGTCTATGTCCCAAAAAAAAGATCGGGCTGGAGTGAAGCAAGTTAATGAAGAAAGGAGATCCATCCCAGCCAAGAGGAGAATTATGAAAGCACAAAGAGCCAAGCATACAGATGAAGGCTAAAAGGCCTCACCCAATCTTTAGAGCTAAACAGGATCTGTGATTTTTCTTGATCTATTTTCTAGCTATAAAAAAGGGCAAGGAAATGTGAAATATCTGCATGCCTTACTATTCTTTACTCACTCCACTGGGGATTCCTCTCTTTGAGCTGACTCCTGGAAGTCAGCCAAGGCATCTACACAGTCATTGGTTACACTGATACAGCTCGATTCACACTTGATGCTCTGAAGCTCCTGTGATGCGAGATGTCCAGAGGCATAATCTCTACCTAGCGATAAGTCAGTAACGCTCTAGCCTTCGGTTTCCAACCTGGCCAAATAGCGGTCTTTAATATGCCTTTGTCCTCAGTGCTTTTATGTTGGTTTGTATATGTATGTATGTATGTATGTTTCATTATGACAGTTCAAATTTTATGAACTACTTAAGAATCTATTTAGCTATTATATTAAAAAACAATTTAGGAAACTGAAAAAAATAATTACAATAGTAAGGGTCATACATACTTCTTCAGGAGTTCAGACTTAGAACTCATGAACATAGTTCATTCTATACGAAAACTGCTGAAAGGCGTTTCTTAAACTTAGAAGGTGCCAGATTGCTCTGGCCAATTGTAGTAGTATCTGGAACTGAGATATAATATCACAGTAGAAGGGGCTATGGAGCACAGCAGTTCAGTTACAATTCCAAATATTGTTCACTTTTAATTACAGGATTCAGCTGAAGAAGAGCCCAGAATACATATAACACAAGCCATTACACAGGAAGTCTTTTCATCCACTACAAAAACATAACAAAACCAGAAGTTTTGCCACCGGTATTAAAGAGACAGAAGGGACACTTCCAAGACCACAGTCCCCTTCTCTTTTCTCCTCTACTCAATTACACAGTTTCACCTATGCTGTATTTAAAAAGAGAGCTTCAAAACTGTAGCCAAGATTTGTTCTGATTAGCTAAACTGATATAGTTGGTTAATTTGTCTGACATATTCCTTCTTTAATACAGACATCCTTTGGTGGAATATTAAAGACACACTATCATACAAATGGGTACACTGACAAAAGAAAACATTTTTAGGATTACTGTTTCTTACTTTTTGCCGAACCCGCTTAAGTTGGCCCAGAAAATAAGCTGTTTCACTTTCTGTACTTCGGATGCTACCATTCCCTCGTCTAATAGGGCACTGTGCAAGGGCTCAGAAGACTTCTACGCTTCCTGGCACTTCCAGATTTCTGCTGGACACCCTGTCCAAGGCTAACTTCTACCACCCTCTGCCTCTGCATTCCTCTCTGTTGAAAACCGGGAGTAAACAACAACCTCCCTGTAAAGCACTTTGAGGGAGATATCAGTAAGAGCTACAACAGCACTTGGTAATATTGAACACAAGTATGCCTTCAGGAAAATGAAAAAAAAACCCAAGAAAATTGCCATTGTTTCGATTGAAAATGGAGTTGACAGAAAGGAAATGGCTTTGTTTAACACACATACATTGGGCGCAGGTAGCTCTGACACGGCTCATTTAAATAAAGGCAGGGATTAAACTTATAAATAATTTTACCTTTAATTTTAGAGAATTGAGTTTTTCCTCCCTTAGGTGCTCTCTTAACATCTCTCGGTGAAGCCTCTCCTGTTCCATTGCAAACTCTCCGAGCGTGTATTGGCGCACGCTGTTGTGGCGAGTGGACATTCCCAGCGTGCTTCCCCCTTGGCTGGGAACACTGGTGAAGCCTTGCCTTCTCGTGAAGTAATACACAGTAACACAGTTAAAATGGACATTTTTTGTTCTCTTCCTCTTCTCTCTCTTCAGGATTGAAGAAGCTAGAACAGATGCAGATTACAGTATGAATGATAACGTGTAGCCACATAGCAAATTTGCCACTTGCCTAGTTCCATTTACCTTAACAATACCTGACTACATACGCACTGAGGTTCCAAGGTGTGCAGTCTAAATGGGAAGATAACATTAGAAATATTTACCATATATGCAAACCTAGAAGCCATTACAAACTGCTACAGTCATGAACACTATTGTCTACTTTAGGACAGAAATTCTTGGCCAGGACAGATGTGTTTTCCCATAGAGTTGTAGAAATGTTTTATCCTTTTACCAAGGAAGCACATAAATCCCAGCAAAAGGAACTTCTTTCACAGTGTCACCTCAAAGACAGTGATCCACTGGCTTGCTCCTCTTCAAAATGCTGCAAACAAAACAACACGTTGTGTATGACAGCTGGGAGGAGAAAGCAGAGCCAGTCTCTCACAGGTCTACACACACTGTTACTACTCTGTCAGCACGGCTTAGCTGTAAGACATCTCCAAGCACATCCTTAAAGCATTGGATCACATTTGCAGAAACGATTCCTATCTCTTATAATCTAAAATGTGAGAAATTAGTGTTAGAAAAACTATAAAGGCAGTATGTTTAGTGTTTCAGACTGTCTCAGAAATTCACACCATCATCATCACAGAATAATATAGGAATAATGCTGATTAGCAATCAGATCCACTTTTTTTCTTTACCTTCATCCTTCTTTCTGCTGCCGTCTACTGAATACACATATGTGTCTATATATATTATAATTCTAATGTGCAGAATTTTAACAAAAAAATTACATCTAGTCTTTTTTTATTCCCTTCACACTTGGGCTCAGTTTTTCTTATACATATGCAGTGTCGTATGAAATGGATTTGTTTAAAAACAAATGCCAAATTTCAACTGTTAAATATTGTTCTTTTTTCTACGGACATTTAGTAACTCCTTCCAATGATACTGATCTACTGTTTCTCACTGGCAACAGTGGTGAGCCTTTAGAGAGAAAAAGAGAGACAAACAAAGATAGGAGGCACTCCTTGATTTTTAAAATAAGCAGCCTGATTTATTTGATTTATTGCAAAAAGGCAATAGGATGTTGAGAATGTAGATAATAAGTCACTGCTTTGCAGTTTACAGGCAGCAATTAGGCAGGTGTGAATGAGAGACCTAACTGCCAGAATTCAGGCAATAAAATGATTTAAAAGGTGCCTGACTGCTCTTGGAAGACTTGGAACCATTCTGTAAAAGCAGTAAGAGCAACATGATGTACACTGCTAATCTAAAGCTGCACCGTCTCTAGAGATTGGAAGCGCGTGGCCTTCAGCCTTGGTTTCGTAACAGGTCTGGTTTACTGTCACAGCTAATACACAGTTCATTCTCTAATCTAATTATATTGTGAAATCTTAATTACCACAAATGTAAAACCCCCAAACTTTTACATGATGTAATTCAGCCAAAAACAAAAAAGCATTATCTACCTACTGTATGAAAACCAAGTATATTAGAAAATACAGTCCTGTAACCAAATTACAGCCAGTACGCCCTACTGACATAATCATATAACTACTTGGGGCTCAGCAAAACATTGGAATATTAGTATTTTTTCTAAATACCAAGAAGCAGCTAGAAGTATGGTTTATTCTATAAATAACACGGACTTCTTCAGACATGCTGCAGGTATGTTAGATTATAAATATAAAGCAAATAAACAAACTCAGGTCCAATATCCACGTACACGGTCTCAGAGAAGGGTGTTCCAAGAAAGGTGTAGGATGTACATAGAGGAATCAAAAGACAAATTCCGTTACATTAGGCATGCTTAAACTTACATTCAAGTTTAGGCAAATCTCATATCAACAGAGCCTATCAAAAATATTTGTAGGAAGCTTCTATTAGGGGAAGAGAGTTATTTTATTAGAAGAGACTAGTTGATAGGGGTGTGTCAATTTTGCATGATATTAAATATTGTTTTAATATACTGTTCTTTTTCATATATGGCACAGTTTCAAAACAAAACTATCTTTAATAAAACCAATTTTTTAGAGTTTGGAAAATGGGGTAATTTTGATATTGTGACATTCTCTTTCAATTTAGCATGAAAACAAATACTCTGAGTCAGAACCTTCACTGCCTGTAAGCTTTTACACACAGGAAAGTGCATATTACAAAAATCCTGCTTCTGCTGAAGGAGGTATCTAAACCATTCTGGGATGTATCCAATTTCTGATATAACAGTATTGATGTTATTTGGATCTCGCCGCTATTTCGGAAGAAATATTGACAGCTACTGAAGGGCAAGCAGCTTTTTTACCAAGTAAAAGAACCAGCCACAAATGGAGTAAGAGATAAAACTATAGTAAAATATTAAAAGAAAGAAAAGATAGAAAGTTGATCTTAAAAATACGTATATATCCTGCATGAGAAAATAGATGGTAATTGTGCCTGTAAATTGCAGAAGTTAGCAAATGCCTTTGAATCTTCATCTGTAAACTTCGGTATCTTCCACATAAGGTCTACATTTATAGTAATTTGTTTTAGACCTCGGCTACAGAACTCCTGACATGGCTGCTTACTGGTAGGAATACCAAATGCTGCAATAAAAGTGCTTCTAGTCTGTCAATCTCTATCGAAGAGATACTACTTTCATACTACCTTCTATACATAAAGAATCACACTACTTCCTGTACGTAAAGAAATCAACCTTAAGTTTTATTCACACGCTACACGCTAATATTAATAGTTAAATGAAGCTAAGCAGAAGACTCTGTGATCTAATTACTTCCAGCGGAAAAAAAAAAAAGAATGTCATCTATGATAAAAACTAGATCACATGAACGAGCTTTTCCACTATGTGGATTTTTGGGGAGGGGTGGAGGTGCCCATGTGTGTGCTGTCAAAATTTAGAACATGAATTTCCTACATTGCCGTACATTTATGCCTAAAAGTGGCCAGCAAACTCTCTCAGTAAGACTGTAGTTGCCATGAGCTGTCGTAAAGAACCCATTAATGCATTTCTTCAAGTTTTTATAGTTCTTATCACTTTTAGCAATTATCAATGCCACACCATCAAAGTTGTTTCTTCAGAGTTTTTTTTAATATATCACTGACAAAAACAGTATTAAAATAGAATTAAGCTGAACATCAAGAAAACGCGGGCATACTGTACCTGCAACACCCCAGCACCATACACCTGTCTGGAAGACAGCGCAAGAGCTGACATGCATTTGTTGTAAACGTCAATAAAGTTCGTGGTTTTATTTATTAACTTTATAGTTACGAGTCAGACAAATTATATGATAATCTGTATAAGCAAACAAGCATGTAAACATTCAGAGCCCTCAGATTACCTGTGATTTTTTTTTTTTTCTGAAACACATCCTATCTTTTGGGTTTGCTTCTGTCTCACCCAAGAGCTTATTATGGGGAAGAGCTAAGGCTCTGTGAGTAACTACATAGTCATCTCTTCCATGTTACTGCTAGGAAGTAGTCAGAATATGTCCATATTTATGAGAATGTTGCTTACAAGAACAGATCAGGCAGGAACTGCAAAAGATTACGGGATTTTATTTGATTACCCAAAAGCAGAGGTTAGAGATGTCAGTGAGGGGACTGGAGAATTGCGACCACCTCAGCGGCCACCGAGGCCACGAAAGGAAGCACAGTCAGCACTGCAAAAGCACTATGTTCTTACTCTACTATACTTCCTAAAATCTCTGAGCAGAGGGCTGCCTTAATGTGACCTCAAAAAAAATTATTATTAGATATTGAATGGAAATGTTGAACATTTTCCAACATCAGGGACAAGGTGCTCCATAACTTATGTGGTCCTTTCACTTCAAGCCAACTACAACTCAGATTCTCAGACCATCTTATCACGAGTCATTAATAAACAATTAATGTTATTTTGCATGCACTGTACCTTAAATAGTACATTCAAATCGGTTGTAATTACTGCTAAGGACACTGCTTAACTCAAGACAGAGCAGAAGGACATACAAAATACATATTTTTGGATATATAGGAAAGCATGAACATATGCCCAGACAAAATTTACTGACACTAATCAACTAGTAAGATCCTTTCGGAATGAGGGACACAGATTGTGCAAGGCTTGCATGCCTCTTTGGAGTCAGTTTGCAGGGAAGCAAAAGCGCATAACCTAAAAATTTATCCATAGAGAGTGTAAACACCACACTTCTCCAGAAGAGCTCTAGTAACGGCTTCCTTGCTTGGCCAGTTTCAAAAAAGAACTGACATGCCATCTGCCTGTGTAACAAGTGATATCAGTGGATGCCACTATCATCTGTTCTGCGCAAAAAGGGCAACACTGACTCCAGGCAGAGTCTCTATGCAGAACTGTGATTTTTTAGCAGCTGCTGGACACACACGGTCAACAGGAACTAGAAGGTGGTTTTTGAAAATGAACACCACTACCTTGGGTCTAGCAGTCCATGGCATGCGAGGACGCCAAGGGGAATAGGAATATTCATCATCACCTAAAACTGTCCTACACGATCTTTAACACATTTATATACTACAAGTCTGATGGAAGGAATGGATTTTTTTCCATGGAAGGAAAAAAATACTCCTTTCTCATGTATTTAAACAATTAATACAATTTTTAGCTCTGTGTTTCAAGATTTTATGGAATTAAATATTTTTGACAGATACATAAGAACTGTAATGCATAAAATGTATCAATTATTAGACGGAAGGATGATACTATGAAGAACATAATTACCGCTACAGCATTATCTCTCAGAAAAGGTCACTTTATCTGAGCAAGGTCTTCAGACATAGATATCTTCAAACAGGACTTTCAGAATTCCTCATCTGAAACAGTATCAGTTGCTGAGATTTTGATTTTTAGCATTTGACATTTGAGTGGCTCAGTTTCCAGGTACAGCGGAGCAGAGCCCCAGTTAGTAACCTCCTCACGGAGTCAAGGCAGGTCCTGCAGGCTTGCCAGCTCCTTGCCAGCTCCTTGCCAGCTCCTTGCTGTGCG